AAAGAAAGAAATAAAGAACGAAAAATGTTTGAACTCATACACAGCATTATTAAATACAGGGAGCAGAACAGAGAGAACTTGTTTTTAAAGTTGCGTACCACTGGAGACATTAACGTCGGTAGAAAGGGTCACAACTGAAGAAACCGAGGTCACCGTCTGCGTGTTGGTCTGCATATTTGTCTGCTTGTGCTCAAAAGCCTCCTCGAGCTGCCTTTGAGCTCTTAGCTGCTGGGGTGCACGCTGCAGAAACACACACAGATACGCATCACATTAAATGCTGGTGGAGTTTAGGAGGACTGAAAATACTGAAGAAGATTGTAAGATTTTTTTCCTTTGCAATACAGCTGCAGAATAAAAACACAATTATTACTATTCACCCCAGATGTGAAAGGAAATGCAGTTGTCGTTGCATGCCACATGGGCGCAATTATTAGGTTTCATATCGTACATGTGCACATAAAAACATGTAATTTTTTTCCCTCTATAGATCACACTCAATCGTGTGGAATCGTGCCATATAAATACATTTAGAGTCGTGTACTAATTAATATACATATGCACTCATGAAGACGCTACAAGATCTAATTAGATTAGTGAGTCTGTAGTTTTAAGCTTATAACCTAGTGTGTCTATCATGTTATGTTACTAAGCAATTAATCCAATGCAATGACTTAGCGTGCTATTTATGATGTTTACAACTTACAGAGGATACAGTATTGACTACTGTATCTGACCAGAGATCCAATAAAAAAACTTATTTGTGGGGATTTCTAGTCCAAATACTCCACAGAGAGCAGCTTCGACAGCCCAGAGTGAAATGCAACCACAAAAGAGGGTTGCATTTTAATAAGAGATATCACTCTGACTTTCTCCTCGGGTAAAACAACTGTTCTTCTCTTGCTTGTACTGTCACTACTGATTACTCCACCTACATGTGTAAACAACAGCTGAGCATGAAATATTCATACCTTTTCTGTGAGGGATTATCAGTGACATTTTGGTAGGCAGAGGCTTCAAACTTAAGCAGAAGTAGACAAAGTGGGCTGAGCACAACTAGGTGAACCAGAACATTTCTATCGTACACTCTAAAAAATAAAACATTGGACCAACAAAAAAAAAATATGTTAACGTTTTCCACTAGAATTTTTAAGTTAAGCCAACTGCTGGCAGAATTACATTAATTCAAAGCAATGTTTTGAGTACGATGAATTACCTTTTAGGCCACACTGAAACACATTTCTAAGTGACACGAACTTAATACTTATCAACATGAATGAAAGTTTTTAAGTTGATCCAACACAATGTTTTGAGTTAGGTGAAGAAACTTTTAGGCCACACTAAAACACATTTCTAAGTGACATGAACTTAATGATTATCAGCATGAATGAAAGTATTTAAGTTTATCCAACATAATGTTTTAACTAAGGAGAAGAAGCTTTTAAGCCACACTAAAACACATTTCTAAGTAACAGGAACTTAATGATTAAGTTGACCTATACAAGAGTTAAGTTGAGCCCTGTCCTATAAAAAGGCCATTTTCTGTGTTTCCCATGAGGCTAAGTTGCTCAGAAATCCAACCTTATTTGTTTTGTGGGTGGGCTCTATTAATGATAATGGACACTATTAATGATCAGAATTTTTTCCAAATGATATTCAGTCATTCCTGTGTGTTATGCCTGCTCTTCTTTCATGACCTTGAGAAAAATTCTTTAGCAAAGCTCAGCAGGAATCCCCCAGAAATTACAGGTAGCTATACAGCCTTGCTGTCTTTGTGAAGCAAGAAGCAGTTTAAATCAAAAGATTACAAGACAGTCTGAGGAAGACGAGGATGGTGTTTGTGCGCGAGCATCAGCTGATGAGACGCTGAGTGAGAGATGGTGACAGTTAACTGAAATCCCGACAGAGATCATGCTACGTGTCCACTAGAAGCGTAAATTGTACCGCCTCCATTCATTGTGTATGTGGAACTCCGCGCCTCGGGTTGTCCAGCGGCGCGGGGCCATCCAAGCGGAACTTACAAACGCATGAACTTACAATGCAATACATGAATGTGAAAGCAAGCCATCCACCTAGCATCAGCACGGTCGGAATCAGACGGTCCTGAGTCATGTAGACAAGCAGCACAAACTGAAGGACAAGAGGAAATAACAACAAAAGCATTGCCGTTTTTTAATCTCCATTTGTGTTCTGTGGTTTCTGTGAAGCAGTTTGTGCTCAAAGTGGTTCTTAAGAATGCATTTAATTATTTATGACATAATTTATTTTGGTCTCTGGCACAGCTTGAAATGGGCTGTTATGGACAATAATGGCCTGACAAATAAGGATCATTGTGACACAAAAGTATTCGTGACTCACATAGCGCTCGTGGTAGTACGAGGCAGGACAGGCCGGGGAGGCAGAGGATCGAGGAGAATGCTGCAGGCTGACTGGAAAACCCTTCAGCATGTTGGTGTTAGCTATTGCAGGGAGCTCATGGTGACCTAAAGCACAGAAACACAGTGATACGACGCATTTACATCTGTACAGGCATCTGTCTGTGTCGGGGGCTGGGGTCATTATCTGGTCTGCTCAACACACCCAAGAGATATTCAATTTTAAAGGAGTTTTTGCACCTTTTTTTAAAAAAACTTATCCAGTATTCTTTACTCTGCAAACAAACAACAGTTTAATTTGGGGGGAATTTAACATGTCTTCAGCTAAATGTAAACTTATGGATGGCAAATACGTTGCAGTTTTAAGAAATGCCGATGGGGATTAATCAATAACTATTCACTGTGAGATTAATCTGTAACCAGTGCTTATTTGTGATCAGGAGTTTCTCTGCTAAAAGTCATCACTCTCACATTGAAAATAGTTGTACGTGACTAATCCTTGCACAAGAAAATACAGAACCTAGACTGCTCCTTGATTTGGTAGTAGCACTTACAACATATTTTCATATTAGTTTTCTGTGGCCGTAGGTGCATTTACTTTAAGTAGGAACTTTATCAATACAGATAAATGACATCATTTCATCTGGTTAGGCCAGCTGTGCAGTTTTGAAGAAGTTAAAAAGTTTGTTTCTACATTGTTCAGAAGTTATGGATCCAATTCAGCAGCTGAAGGAAGCTGTCTGTAAGCTGTGTGTGTGTCGGTCTGCGTTTACCTGTCAGCAGCCAGTGGTTCATCTGGCTGTTTGTGCTCCCTGGTGGATAACACACATCAGTGCACGGTGTGATCTCAATGCAACAAAAAGCACAAAACAGTCACATAGCACCTGTCCTATTATCATCTCGGTCATTTTCAGTTCCTTACTCCACTGATGTGATTTAACCTAACAGTGTTTTGTTAAACCAGGAGGGAGTATTAACACAAATGTTGATGTTAAGAGGAAACTGGTTGTTGATATATATGATAAAAGCAGAATATACATTTGAACTCACCACTAATGAGACTCCTTGATGCACAAGAGAAGTCAAGGCGTAGAGGTGGGAATCCAACTTTCCTACATAGAGAGTGGATCTGAAGGGAAACAAAGACTGGGTGATTTCCTCAACTCAGCTGTTTGCATGCTTCTTTGTATAGTTGTAGCAATTTATTTTTATCCAATGGAGTGGACAGACTGGTCTTAGGACAATAGATGATTACATTTCCAGAACTAGACTATTAAGAGTTTCATTTCCATCCATCCATCCATTTTCTATACACCGCTTAATCCTCATTAGGGTTGCGGGGGGGCTGGAGCCTATCCCAACCGACTTAGGGCGAAGGCAGGGGACACCCTGGACAGGTCGCCAGTCTATCGCAGGGCTACACTTAGAGACAGACAACCAAGCACACTCACATTCACACCTACGGACAATTTAGAATCACCAATTAACCTCAACATGTTTTTGGACTGTGTGGGAGGAAGCCGGAGAACCCGGAGAGAACCCACGCTGCACGGGGAGAACATGCAAACTCCACGCAGAAAGATTCCGGTGCCCCCACCGGGACGCGAACCGGCAACAGTTTCATTTAAGAACTGTAAATCTGAGGCACAAACTTAATTTTCAATCTGTAAACATATCTTCACAGACATAAAATAAAACTTTCATGATGACAACGGCACAGAAAAGATTGTAAAAGTGACCATTAAAAACCACATAAAAATAGATCTCATACATTACAGTTTTGTAAATTAGTGCACAACAGCACAACCAAAACAAGAGACAGCACGTGACCTTTAGAAAATATCATGTCTCCGGTCACTGCTCACTCTGCCCCCATGTTTCCTGTTCCTGTCCAATAAAAGCGAAATGACTGAAAGCAACTAGGGAGGTAAAAAAAAAACCAAAAAAAACAGTCTCCTCTGACTTCAGGGGTTAAGTACGACCATTAAACACATCATCCCAAGTTTGACTCTGGAGGCTTTCACTGCATTTTTCTTTCCCTTATTTCTCTGCTGCTGTGGTAACAGCATGAAATGAGCTACAGACACAGCTCGTCTTTTTGTTTAGGATGCGGATGTTAAAATGTGATAATAGAACCGGCAGCATCCTGATGGAGATAAAGACTCAGCAGTTCTTGGCAGCTACCTCGTGTGTTAATTTAATTTATGAGAAGAACTTGTCATGTGCTATCACTTAAAATTTGAGGCAAGTACAAAAACAGCAAATAGCAGCAGACAAGGAAACTGTTCAGCAACGTCCATGAGCCTTTTAGTTATATTTATTATGAATGACTATCAATAAAGCGTCCAGACAGAGGATGTCACCTCAGGAGAAAACAAAACAAGCTTCTCTTCCTCCACATGTGTGCAGGAGCATGAGCATAAACAATTTCTCTTACACTAGTTGTGCTTGGGCGCTGGCTTGTTCCTTCACAAACTGATAGCTCCACTTCAAGGTGGAGCGTGCGTCTGGCTGGTCGCCGGCAGAGGAGAACGTGAGGAAGCGTAGCGTTTCCATGGCGAGGGACAGGTGAGGGACGTGTTTCAGTGAGTCCCCGGAGTACAGGTAGACCCCTATGACGGGCGAGCCATAGTTGTGACTCCACAGGATGTCACCTGGAAAGCAAAGCAAAGCAACACCGCACCACCAGAAGGGGGAGACGAAGCATCTACTACCCACACATATAAAACTAATTCAATATTCACATCGTAAAAACCAAACAGCTCCCCCTACTTGACTCTCTGTCAACTGTCACAACAAGGCCGTCTCCACTTGAAACCAGATGGGCCATTTCTGAAGGACAAGCAGGTGCAGCCAGTTAGTTTTAAAAGATGAAACACAACATTTCTAACTTCTTTCAAAAGGTTTAACATATTCTTTGAGGATCTGTGCTTAGCAGTGAATCCGTCTTTCTTAGCTGTATTCATTCTTAGACCGCTTTATCTGGCTGTTTTCATGCAAACATCTGACTAGACAACATGTCACAGGTACCTCTCCTGCACAATTCATGAGATTTGTCATTTACATCTTTTAAGTGTTTATATCTAGATGACAGTCTGTATCTGTATCAAAATGCACAGTGACAGACAGTCATAGATATAAAACAGGTATAAACAGGTATGTGTTTCATTCTTGTGCATCTTTTTATGATTTATCTCTCAATGCTGATAAATCACTTAAAATGTTTTTAGATATCCTGCAAGCAATGAAACAATAAAGAAAACATATTCTCAGCCTTAGAAATAGCAGTTAGATAAATAAAAAAAAATTAAAAAACATTCTGGTGTTTGTTGATCTAAATGTTGCACTAAAGTGATGAGACTCTACAGGATTGTGTTTTGCCATATCATGCTCATCAGACACAGGTCTCCAAAGACACAGTTTTGTCAGTCTTTCAGTGCTCTCATGTAGTCAGTTCTCAGCGTGTACAGTAGATGAATGAGGTGCAGGGACCTACCGTAGTCCTGCTTCTCATCGTAAGCAGAAGCGGAGTAATGGTTGTAGGTAGCCTTCCATCGCAGCTTCTGTGTCTTAGTGTCATACATGGTAACCACGTATTCTGGAGAAAAAAAAAACAGGGATTCTTATATAACCATCGAGCTTCACTTCTTCAGCCACATGACGGTTGGCATGTGTGCGGCTACCTGTGTGACATACCTGTCCGTCCTATGTAGAGCAGAGGAGTGCTGAAGCGGATGGATTCAGTGGAGGAGGTGATTAAATTGGTTTGCTTCTTGCCCGTTTCCGGATCAACCACAAACCACACATCCTGCTTTTTACCTGCATACGCACATAAAGACACACAGATGCATACACAAAACCGTAAGTGAACAGCGACGAGTTATGCCAAATGTTTGTGTCTTCGTTTATAACATCTGCATTCTCTCTCTTAGACACGGTGTCCTACCTGTGTAGAGTATACCATCAGAGCTTCGGCAGGGAGCTGACTGAACCAGCTCTGGGATGGTAAAAGGCAGTTTCTGGAGATACGTCAAAAGAATAGAGTTGTAAAAGTGAAGACCTGAACACAAAGTACAACACAAACACACAAAAGCAGCGTTCCTTACCATCAAGCCTTCCTTGTGCTTCCCACCAAGCACATACAGACTGCCATCGTTGGGGTCTGGGACAAAGCCTGGCCTTTATAAAACACACATACACACCAGTCCATTGGTTAAAATATACGAGAATAAAGCATGTGAAGATATCATTCAAGCATAATGACATCAGCAGAAGCTAATTGGAGGGAGAAGTTTACAAAGCTGGAGTACAATCGTTGTAGTGAGATTAGAGGTGTGGGTGAGAGCTATTTTGATTACAACAAAGATTTTGAATTTGTTATTCACAAACAGCATCTGCTTTTGTGATCCATCGCTCACAAAAATGATTTTCAAAGGACGTGATCATGAATTTTTAAATTTGCACACAACTGGGAAGTAATGTCAGAGTTTTTAAATGTTTTCAGTCCACAGTTACATAAACTGTCTTTCAATGGGGACAGTTTTTACTGCTCTTTCTAGAAACATTCATCCAGCTAAGGTGGCTCCAAAAGTACAACATGTACGCTCAACGTGAAGCCCAGAGTAGCAGCTAAAGGCTTAAAGGCTCAAACGGGAACCGGTTAACATCTGTGTTCATGACGAAATCGTGGTGTACGGTTACATGGAGCGTGTTGTCCATGGTGGGACATGACAAAGGAAGCTTCTGCTCTCAAAAGAAAAAAAAAAAAGCATCACTGTGTGCCTGAAGTTTGACATTCCACAACACGACCAGTAAAAAAAATGCTGTGGACTGATAAAACTAAGGTTGAACAGTAAGAGATGAACATGCGGCACTACATACGGGCTAACAAAGACACTGTAGCATGAAAATATAATCCCAAAATTGAAGTACGGTGGAACTGATTCCCAAATGTATAACATCAGAGTGGCAGTCTGGCTTTAAATCATCAGAAGTTGGGTGAGCCAGCTGCACACTGACCCTAAACTTCAAAGTAAAACTATTACAGAATGACTTCAAAGGACTTGTGCCTTTCGGAGCAGTCCAGTCAGAGCTTCACCCTACAGAAATACTTTGGAATGACCTCAAGAAAGCCGTTGACACCATACATCCTAACAATACGGTGAGTTTGAAGCAGTTCTTCCAGGAAAAATAGTCCAAAATTCCTTTTGAACATTGTGCAGATCTTATCAACAGGCACCAGAGATATTTGTTTGAGGTCACTGCTTCCTAAGGAGGTTCAGCCACTTGTAAAGACTTTGTCACGTTGTTAATTTGACACTCCTCTCTGTGTACCAAAGTTACATGTTTAGATGTTATCCATAAAAATACTGTAATCCCTTCTTGCCTTAAAATGGCTAAGGTGTGACTCTACACTGTTGCCTCCTCTAAAAAGTACAAATACAGCAAGTCTCGACCTCTGTCTCTACCGATCCCTCCTTATTCGCTGCATCTTCACTTAGTTTTCCCACAAGCACTGCAAATGCTTAAGCAGTGTGTTCAATAAAGAAAGAAAGGATTATAATTGTTTGCATACGAGCTTAAGCACACTGTTTGTCTGTATTTGTGACTTAGATGAAGATCAGATCACATTTTGACCATTTAATACAAAAAAAACTCCAAATAATTCCAACAGTTACTATCCTTTTCCTTACCGCTCTATGTTCAGTGCTGTTGGTCAAATTGGTTGTATTTTTCAGTAGTTTAGTTCCTATACTTGTTATATACACACTTTTTTTCTTTTCTTTTCTTTCCTTTCTTTCTTTCCTTTCTTTCTTTCGTTCTTTCTTTTCTAACACAATACCTTAACAAACACCTATTTTAATTTCTCAGTTCTTACAGTTTGCCTAAACACAGGCAGCCGTGCAAGAATACTACCAATAATAAAATAAAAGAAGGACCTTGATTGTCATTATACTGCAGCAATACAAAAGTATTAATAATAGTCTAAAAGTGCCTACATTTTATTTAAATATGGCTTTATCTGATGTAAGATAAAATAAACAAGAGTGCAAAGCTTTGGGACTTTACAGTTTTCAACGCCGTCTGCTATAAATGCACTTCAGTCTGTGGAACAAAAGCACTGAGGTTCAATACCCAGCCCTTTGTGCAGACACACTTGTGTATGCATGTGTTACTTACTCTGTGAGGTCGACAGGCACTTGAATAATAGGGTCTGAAAAAATTAAAAAAGAATAACTTCATGAGAAATATTTCACAGTGAAAGAAAAAGTCAGGTAATAGTATTGGCCTCTGTGTGTATGAACCTTCTGTTAAGGTCCACTTGATGTCTCCCGACTGCTTGGAGACGGCGTGCAGACTGCCGTCCAGGGTTGAGACGAACAGGAGAGACTCTGGGAGGGGGACTGATCTGACCCCTCCAACCTGAAGGGTCGCCAGAGACAGACAGAGAGAGAGAGAGAGATTTTATGCCAGCTGTCTGACAGGGAGCTCAGCCGTGTCATGTATCCACGATTTCAACATAGCTTGACTACTGCGTGTGTGTGTGTGTGTGTGTGTGTGTGTGTGTGTGTGTGTCAATGGGTGTGTGAGTTTATGAGAGTGAGCGTGTCAGGTCTGGCAGGAGTTGATGGTGTTACAGAGCTTCTGCTCCAATAACTGTGCTGCGTTCTTCATTTAGCAGGATTTCCTTATTCCCCCTGCCTTACCAACACTACACCCTACACCACGGGTGTCGAATCCTGGTCCTCGAGGGCCACAATCCTGCATGTTT